ATGATATGTGAAGCTGATCGTTGAGGTAAAGATAGACTCCTTTCGCATCGTTTGGAGATCGGAATCTACCCCAAACCAACGTGATATCGCGTTGCCGCAGTGTAGTTTGAATACCCCCTGTCACGATCTGGAGCGAGTGGCGTAGGGTTCGCTCATGTTTGTGAATCTGCTTATTCTGAGCAACCTGAAGTGGTTCATGAACAAATTAATTCTTTTGAGTGGTGTACATTCCTGGTTCTCGAATCGCCTGATAGACCACAGTTTAGCTTAGCTTTGCTAAGACTGACTGTCCCAGGTAACACAAATTCATGGAATCATATTTAGTAAACTGCTTTACAACCAAAACCAGTCATACAAAGGTTAAATAAAGTGTTATGGAACATGTGTGTTGCTTGGGATCAATGGTTGCTACTCCGTGATTAGATAAAAATCAGTGAAATTGAACAATTAATGAACTGAAATGGGCTGGAAGTGACTAACCATTCTCAATATATGAAACACAGAACCGCGATATATCGCTTAAAAGACACTTTATTAAACTTTTTATTGTACCAACAAGCAAGGTTGCAAATACTCATTTCAGCTAAAATAATAGGGGTATTCACTATGCGCATTGTAAACCTATACACTATCGTAAAAATACCAGGGTCCATCGGAGTGTAATGGAAGTTTACGCATTTACGAGAGTGTATACGTTTATGATGCGCTTAGTGAATACCCCTAATGTTTTTCGGAATAATAAAACCAAGAGATGGTATGATGACATGGCTTACTTGTACCTTACAAGAAGAGGTTACCAAGTATGCGTTTGAAACATAAAACCTGTAAATTTTGCTTTCTATGAGTCACAGCGATTTGCTGATTGCTGAGTGAGTGAGTGAGTGAGTGAGTGAGTGAGTGAGTGAGTGAGTGAGTGTGTAAGTGAGTGAGTGAGTGAGTGAGTGTGTGAAAAATCGCTGATTGTGACTCTCATGAAGTGAAATAAACAGGTTCAATATGTCAAACACATTCTTTGCAACCACTTCTTGTATCTTGCCAATTCAAAATATGATCATAGCATCTAATTATTTCATAATTAAAAAAAAAACATTATTTTAGCTGAAATGAGTATTTGCAACCTTGCCAACAAGTAACATTTTGGGGTTTCATGATATTCCAATATAAAAATTTTCTATTTCTGCTCACAACAAAATTATAAAAATACTAGTTGACCCGTCGAACTTCGTCCCGCCCAAAATTTTATTTTTGTTTTAAACAATTTCGAGCATTCACGATGCCACCCTAAATAACTCTCTTTGAATGGAATATTCGCGATTGATTAAGATGATACTACTCTTACTTCAATTATAATTATGGGAATCATAGAAAAGTATTCTAAATGCAACTCAAATGTACACGGCCAATCATACCAACTCAGCGACTGGGCCGGCGCCGGTGGTGTAGTGGTAAGCGTGACTGCTTTCTAACACCCCAATGGGTCTGGGTTCAATCCCCAGCCGAGGTCGGTGGGATTTTTCTAAGGCATAAAAATCTCTGGTCACGTCTTCCTTCGGAAGGGAAGTAAAGCCGTTGGTCCCGGCCCATGTGTGTTGTGAATGGGTGCGAGATCCTACGCAGGTGTGGAAGCTGCCTTCCTGCACATTCGGTTGCCGTCAATGGATGGCAATCGATATCCGTCGGTGATTGGCACTAGATTGCGGATCAGAGACCGACGTTAAATAAAGGAAAAAAAAAAAGATCTCAGCGACAGGGAGCGACCCCGGCGTAGTGGTTAACATCCATACCTCTCACGCCAAAGTCACGAGTTCAAATCTCACCCCCGGACAAGTCACGAATGACCCAAGACTGTTAAAGTAACAATAAAAAAAAAAAAAAAAAAAAAAAAAAAAGTTTCTCGACTGAGAGTAATTGACTCAGAGAATTTTCTTTCCATACGAAATTTACTCAGATTTGGAAGAAACTGCAGTTACTCCTAGCTTATGAGTAACTGCAGTTTCTTCCAAATCTGAGTAAATTTCAGATGGAAAGGAAAATTTATGAGTCAATTATTCTCAGTCGCTGAGTTGGTATGATTGGCCGTGTATACTTCCCGCAATAAAATGAACCGATAGCGGATAGATGTATGCGCTTATTACCCCTGCCAGTGGCGCATATTTCCCAGTACAAAATGAAAAGGCGATTTATTGTTTTCCTTGATTTCTTTTCCGAACTGAGCACCAATGCAACTGACGCCAGGAAGGCAGTTTCCACACCTGGAGCCTACCTATCGACCCATCAAATCACTACCGGGGACCAACGGCTTTACTTCCCTTCCGAAGAAAAGCGTGATCAAAGATGTTATGCCTCTGAAAATCCCGGCGGTGCCGATTGAGATTGAACCCAAGCCTTTTGGGATGAGAGGTAATCACGCTTACCACTACACCACCGGCGCCGCTATATAGAACGTTTAATATTAATGTAAATGTAGTGAATATCGATCATTTCCTTAGAAGGCGTGTATTACGTCATGCTCCCCTACAAGTCTCAGTGACTCCATATTTTAAAGATCAATAACGGCACCGGACACATCCTTGCAATCAGGTGGGACTGAGGAAGAAATATTAGAGGGACCTTTGTTGTTTTGGGACCGTGTTTACCTCTGTGTTATATGAGATGAGATTTTGTTAGTAAGTTGGGATCGTTGGATCAGGATTCACCTTGATAAGTGATGCGATCGTAGTTTCAATATAATGTAGTGTTTTCCAGAATTGACGCAAAAAAGAGATCTTTCAATGGCTGGTAGGCAAATGATGTGACCCTATCGACTCATAAATGTCTTGGGATAAAACCCATGATCTTCTGCTCAGTAATCAAAACCGTTGGACTGGGAAACCAAGCCCCTCATTACAACAAACTATTCCCAACAAATATTGTTCTTGCTCCGTGACATACAGCTATTCAGATAATCAAATTTCTCAATGAGAAGACATATGACATATTTGACCAACAAAACCATGTTTTTCGCATTATTTTGAAAGGGTTTTGTCTCACTAGCGATTATGTTCTTGCACCCTGTAACGTGGGTACATCACCTTTTCGTGGTACGTTACGGGATGTAAGATCTACCACCAATTCCTAGTCCTGACTTTTTCAAACTAAGGGAACAGGTTTTTTCAGTAATCAAAGTAACACATCTTATTCCTTGTTACTTTTTATGCCATGTTGATAGTGATAAGTCCTCGGGTTGCCTGGACCGAGGATGATCTTGAAACAAGTTAAAAATGAGTTAGTTAGTATTCACCAGATTCCTAATCTTCTATTCGTTGTTCCCTAGTTTGAAGTGGTTAAGACTAGGGTTCTGATGCATGGTCATTATCGGTTTCATAGCTTGTTTTTGTTGTTAAGGAATCCAATTTTGACTGACAAAGGGGCGCGCCTTTGGAGGGTGTTCCAACACTCCGAAGGGTATAAATAGCGGAACCTTTCAGTTAGCATCGATTCCGTGCGATGAAGGCAAGAATGACAACTGTATCAAAACCGAATACTTCATCATTTCTCAATAGTGATGGAGTAAAACGACATGTACTAAACTAAGAACACAGTATATACTACAATAGATCAAATTACTGGTCGCAGTGGTGTTATGTCCCGAACAGAGAAAAAAAAATATTTACGCGCTACCTAAAGCTTCAACAAAGTAAACAGTACTTTTCAGTGCTCAATCTTACCTGCAAATTTTCTACATTGTTTGAATCTTATTCCTCTTCGATCCTTGTTCGGACCCTCCTGAGGTTATCCTGCTTGGAAATCAACTTAGAAAATTCCTTTTCGATCCTTCAGATTCTAATATTTATTAATCTGCTGGGAAGTCAATTTGAAGAAACGTATTATCATAGACAAACAGACATAACTCATTTAATATTTCTCACTGTAAAACATCGTCGCTAAAACATTACCGCCATCTGTTGAGTACACTGTGGTGGGTAGTACGCTGAACAGGTGGCGGTAGTGTTTAAACGTCAAACGCAAGGGAAATTACTATGCGCGCCAGATGTGGCGATACTACCAAGTGCGATACCTTTAAATTGACCGTTAAATGCTTTTTCGATGAACAACTTGTGAGTGTTATGTTTGTTTGTCTGTGGTTTTACTGTGTTTTATTACGCTTAAATGTAAAATAAAAGTAAAATATCTTGATCCCCCTTCTGATGAAATTTAATTGAGCAATTGAGCAATTGATTGGTCACTTCCAGTCTAGTGAAATTAGAGGCACCAGTGGTGTAGTGGTAAGCGTCTCACCCCAATAGGCCTGGGTTCAATCCCAAAAAGGCTGTTGAGGCAGCGGTACGGTCTAGGAGTTCTTCAATCAATAAATTGCAATTCAAATTCCCATTCCTTCCAGCCGTCCTTGACTTTGACCTACAGGACTCCGAAATACTATCCACTCTACCAAACCTGGCAAGGGGCATCATTCTGAGCATATCAGAATATATGGCTGATGATTGGCTGCATATTCACAGCTGCCTCAGCACCAACCAGGTCTGGAAGTACTTCACTTGTGGAGCATTCATTGTTCAGCATATACGCATGTCTTTCCGGAATTTGACCGTCACGCTGCAACGATCATCTTGGCACAGGTGGAGTCACATGGTGAGGGTACCTGTTGAACCCCTTAGATCCTTCTCCAAAAACTGCAGGTGGGGATAACCAACAGATTTGCCACCATCCAACAACAGCGAAGACGAGTGGCGGTTGGTGTTCTACATCGTCGTCGAAATCTACATAATAGGAACCCTTGTCTACTGGTTTCGGGCCACCGGTGAACTACAACCCGGGGCACTTGAAGTTACAGAAGAGCAATGTAAGCCCTCCAATGAATCTGGTTTCAACAACAACTCAGTAGAAATTAAACTCTCAATTTTAATAAACATTCCAAATCCTTTGAACATCAAAAATAAACACCTTCACACCTGTTCGTTCAACATTAATATGTCTCCCAGCCTCAATAGCCATCGAACAATCAAGCCAAGCCACGAAAATGTCATTCATTTAAATCTATCACCCAGTTCCACGCTCCTAACGGTGGGCTGCAGTCGGGCAATGTTGGCTTCTGGGCTGTTCAGCTGGCAGTAATCTTGAAACTGACGTTGCAAATCACAGTTCATTTGCAGCAGCTTGTCCCGTTCCTCCCGCAGCAGCAAGTTTATCGCCTTCCCACGGTTGATTTTGTCAAAGAAAAACGCATATTCAGGTGAACTGTCAGCCGTATTACCTTGTGCAATTCGGTCCTTGAAATACTTTAGGTCGTCCTCACACTCGTACTTGGAACAAGTTTGCGCTAGACTCAGAATTGAGTTTCCCCTTTCCAGCAGGTTGGACAGATACTTTTCCGTGTTAAATGCTTCATATGACATTTTCTTCATTCGATTCATGTGGTGAACATCCAAGTGGAAAATCTTCCTCTTGAGAGTATCTATTTCCTCCAACATATTCCGTTTGATTAATCTTTTGGCGATAACCTTCCGAGCACCAGCGATTTCCACCGTTGTAATTTTCTTATGCAAATGGTTGATGCGCAAATTTAGCTCTCTGATCTTGGCACGATTGGATTGGATGATCATCTGGGATCTTTTGTGCTTATCGTTCAAGTTGTGATGCGCTATTCCCTTTTCCGGATCCATAATCATGGTGAAGTAGTCGTTCAGCACGGACATGATTTCATTGTGCACTAGCTTCGTTTGATGTAGTTTGCGGTCATGCATACGGCATCGTTTCTCAATGAGCTGGAATCGATGTTGAGAATTTAAAATTTAAGATCCAACTTACTTATATTGGAAAATACATACCTCATTGACGTTTTCGTCGGTCGTCTTCAGGAAGGCAACTCGATCATCAATCAATCCCTGTTTCATGGCCTCGTCCAGTGATATCAATGCACCTTCCATCTGTTGCAGGCATTCGCTGGCTTGACTCTGGTGAATGATTTTGAGTAATTAGCACTAGAATCTTTGAAGCTCTTTCCCTACACTTACGTCTTTCAAATCAATATCATGTCGAAATTTGGTTAATTGTAATTTGTAATCTGCTTGGTACTGTTTGGATAAGTTGGTGACAAAGTATTGATGAATTTCTGAAACGAGAGGATCAACATGTAGAGGTTTTAAGATTTTAATCATTCCGATTTACATTCGGCGATAAAAAAATACGATGGCAAAGGTTAGGGTCTTCCACCTCAAATGGTGGAACAAATTGTTCTACAAGTAGTAGACGGGGAAGTCTACAAATAGTAGACGAAATACGCGTATCTGTCAAAAGATAAGCAATTTTAACGGATGTAAAAGGAAATAAATCAACACAGTCAAAAAGCTCTTCATACATACTTTTCATAACATATACACATATGTTGCTTATGTAAGGTCAATACTTGAATATTATAGCGTAGTTTGGTCATCTTTTTCATTTTCAGTCAAGCACGAAGAAAGAATAGAATCAGTACAAAAGCAATTTTATTGTTTGCACTTCGAAAATAAAGCTGGACAAGATATCCTCTTGCATCATTTGAAGCCCGCTGCATGTCCATCAGCATCCAAACATGAAAAGAGAACCGTGGTCTAATTTGTAAACGATATCGTTTCGCATCGCATTGATTCAATGACAGTTTTATTGAATTTAATTTTTACATACCTTCCCGGCAACTATCCAAGTAACAATTCAAGCTGAATTGTAAGAACAAAGGTTGATTATTGGTTGATTTAAGGTTTACGAAGCTGATTAACACCAGGTTGAATATACAGTTGATTAGTAGTGCATGAAGCGAATTGTATCCCCATAATTCAACCTCAGTAAGTTAGCTGATATAAAGACTGAACAAGACTTATTTAAGCTTAATACTACTCCATAAACCAGCAATACGCTACAAATATTCTGATAGCTTGATAGAATAATATGAATTTATTGCACTTTATTGTTAAATGTCGTCAGTTGCATTTCCGACATTTTAGTTATTCTAAATTCACTGCCTACCTTTCTAATCCCAAGCAGCACCAGCAGTAGAGACAATTGACAAGGAAGAGGAGCTTTTAAGAGTAGCTCCACCTAGAAGTGGACTGCGACGACGTCGGAAGTATTAACATTAGTATTCCTGTGTTTTGTCTGTTCAACACTTTATATTGCACTTAATTTTCATACCGCATTTCAAAAATAGAATTCAATAATAGCACTAAAATACCATCGAAATACATCGCGCACTTGTGTCCACATTGTGTTTACTGCACTTGAAATGAGAGGAATGTTTTACTGTCACAATTTATTGTTTATAATTCGGCATTGCTGTATAATACTCTTCTGGTTGCTATTATTCAACTTAATTTTGACGTGCTTCATGTTAATGATCATACCTTCTGTCTCAAATATGCTTATGTGGTCGAGTGGGTATAGTTGACGCCTGTGAATCAGCGACTGCCGGTTTTAATCCCGAAATGTTAAGGTAATTTTTAGGCATATAATAACAATATAAATATGTAAATCCAATTAGTCAGCAACATTCTAAAGCAGTCTCATAAAAAATATAAGATATGAAGTGGACTTCCATTATATTTTTTTAAATAAAAAATTAAGGCTGAACAATGGTTGGAAAAGACTGTTGGTTAATGCATTGAAAAGCTTATAATTTAGATTGTTGTTAAGCTTTGGGCTGATTAAAATCACCAGATTTAGATGTTTAAAAGCTGAACAAAGGTTAAAGTGGTCTATGTACAACAATTATTAAAACTAAGCCTGAATTAAAATCGTTGAAAGAACGCTTGTTAAGCATCAATTTGTTACCTGGGTATGAAATAGAAATATTGTTTCTACAAGCCACAATCGTACATACTTGGACCTCTGAATCAGATGATGGTAACTTACAATAAGCATACCAAAACTATTGACTTAACAATGACTGAAGCCAAATTGAAGCAATACTACAATTCTATTCCTTTATTATGAACATGCCAAAGTAATAGAATTTAAACAATACTCTAGTTTTTGGATACAATATTGCTTAGAATTAAGACATAAAATAAAATTACCATTGAATGAAAAGAATCTACTCATTTGCTTGTTGAAATATTATCTGTCCTCTCCGGATCCTATCCTTCGACAATGTACCCCTCTAACCTCGGGTAAGCCGCGAGTATTCGGCCCAACTCCTACTAGATAGAATTAAGTTAATTTTGTTACAAACAAATAACAACGAATTATTGGCTCCGTAAAGCTAAAGTGATTGAGCCATCCAAACAAACTAACTAGATAAAAAAAATGTTCTCCATAAAGAAGAGAACCTTCACTAAATTCCAAACTGAATTTGTTTTTAGTAAACCGATGAACCGTTGAAATGATCAACCATTCCAGTGCTGTCCACACCTGGTCCGATCGTCGAATCAGATGACTGACATCCCCTCAAAGTTAAATCACCAGTGTTTTGGGGGAGGGGGGTAATTTGCCGATCTTTCGACCGGAAATCCCGCCAATCGACACTGGTCAACAAAGACCTTTCCGACCAGGCTTCCAGTTTGTTTCGTCTAGCCGAACCATCATGCGGCATTGTGTTGGACACTGTTGGTGCTACGTATTTCTGCCGTCCAATCTACCAACCACTGGCAGTCGGTGGCCGCTCCTGCCAGCCTCTTAATTATAAATCATCATCTGCTGCGTATCGTCAACTACAGCCATCGTACGCCATCGAAGGTTCGTTTTAACCGACGACTAGGGGCGGTCTCCAGAGAGAACCCCGCTCCCATTCCAACCCACCTATGTATATCACCGGTTAAACAATTTTACAGCACCTCCTCGTCTCCCCTCATCTAACCCCTCTTTATTTATTTACCCAACCCTTCGTTGAAATGCCCTTGGAACCAAATAAAGCCTTGAGTGCCCACCTCCGGAATTTTAAGATCAGCCGACTATTTCCTTTCTGGGACCAACTGGTTCCGCGTTCAAAAGTAGTTTCAGAATTTATTTTATTTAAGTGAAGCTAATAATCAAATACTCCAAAAATAAGCTATTTTCAATGTGCTTTAAATGCTGTTAGTGTCTCTAATCACTATGCTTATAAATCACTGCTCAACTTACCCAAGTAACAGTCCACTAAACGCTTCAGCCGTTGAAGATGCCTCGAATAAATGTCTTCCATTTCATCCCGATCTCCGAAAAGTCTTTCTATGTAGAAGTTTTTCCGATCCCAAATCAGCTGAATATTCTGCTTGATCTGCAGCATTTCCTCCAGAAGATCTTCACATTTCATATCTGCGCACATCTGCTCCCAATCTTGGCAAACCCGTTTCTCAGTTTCCAAGGAAAATTGCTGCTCTCGTTTCAAATGATCCTGGGAAAAAATGACGAACGTCATTTAGCTCTGACGACGATCCAAATGCAGTAAATTACAATAATGCATTTCTTCTTCAGCGTTTCGGCTGCCACCTTCCTAGATTTCTGCTTCTCAAGCCTACGAAACTTCATCTCCAACTTTTTCAATTCTTCGGGGGCTTTTTCCGGTTCCATACTTTCAACGCTCTTTAACATAGTAACTGCTTTTCACTAAATGCGATCGTTGTGTCAGACGTCAATGACTGCTAACTTGATCGGTTTTCAAAAAGGTTCGCTCTCGCCCAGTTTTTGATGAGTTTGCGTAATTTATAAATGTTTCAACTCGATTGGAAATGGAGAATCGTTTGAACGTTTAGGCAGGACTTGGATGCAAGCATTTTTTTTATCTGATAGTGTTACGATCAAAATTTGGTCGACTTAAACTTGACGCATTTATTTTAATCGAGCATTTAAAATATGAACACCCCTGATTTTGTGGATGGGTGCCTGCAGAATGATGCCACTATTTTTTTGTTAGCATTTGCTCTTCAGACAACGGCGCCGGTGGTGTAGTGGTAAGCGTGATTGCCTCTCACCCCAGAAGGCCTGGGTTCAATCCTAGTCGGCGCCACCGGGATGTTCTGAGGCATAACATCTCTGATCACGCCTTCCTTCGGATGGGAAGTAAAGCCGTTGGTCCCCGGTTCATGAGTTGATGGGTCGATAGGTAGGGTCCAGGTGTGGGAGCTGCCTTCCTGGCACGTCGGTAGCATTGGTGCTCAGCACGGAAAACAAGATCGACGGAAAAAACAAACCAAAGGAAAAAAAAAAAAAAATTGCTCTTCAGTTATAAAAAATGTTAGCAGACTACAAAATAAAACAGCTGGCACTGCAAAACATGGCTGGTACCTCTATTTATGCATTTAGATTAACATCCGAAGTCCCTTATTTTTACATATTCTGCACAAAAGACACTTTCTGTCCCACCATTCATAAACAAATGGCGGGAAATCCTGTTAGAGATGGGGCTTTGCAATTATGTTTGTGCGGAATATCTTAATAAGGAAGGACTTAGGATGTTTTTTTTTTGCAGAATATGTAAAAAAGGAGGAACTTTGGATATCAATCTCAATGCATTTATAGAGGTACCATACATGTTATATAGTACATTCCCTAGTAGCACGCTTATCACAAACCGGTTGTGGCAACTTCTATACAACTTATGTCAGTCATAAATAAGTTACTGCAACTTACTGTGACGGAAATGTGCTACTCGGGCTGTACTCTGTGAACAATTGACTGGGGATCGAATTCTTCCCGGAGAAAACTGAGATGGTTGTTTTTTTTCTTTTTCTAGCAAGCATTATTTATTACAATGAATGTTAGTTCCATTTTCTATCATCCTCTGTTCATGAACATCGCAGCGAATGTTAGAAGTTGACCTTACAGGCGATGTAATGGTTTTTTGTCTTTATTATTTCGTATTCTAAAGGGTGATACGGTCAAAATTTGGTCAAGGGAAAACGCATGTAAATCGGTGAAATCGTTTAATTAAAAAATCAAATTAAATTTCTATTTCAAGTTCAATTAGTATAAAATTCAGGAAAAATATTGAGTTAGGCTTCCGCATTTCCAAATTTGAATTTCCGGGCCTTACGCTTGACCCCTGCCATCAGATTTTGTACAGCCACCTTGTCCACCTTCTTCGCCGCAGAAAGCCAGTTTGCCTTGAACTGCTGCTCGCCCTTAGCAGTTTTTTTTTGGTCTTCTTTAGGTTCCGCTTGACAATAGCCCAGTATTTCTCAATTGGGCGGAGCTCTGGCGTGTTGGGAGGGTTCTTGTCCTTGGGAACCACCTGCACGTTGTTGGCGGCGTACCACTCCATGGCCTTTTTACCGTAATGGCAAGATGCCAAATCCGGCCAAAACAGTACGGAACAACCGTGTTTCTTCAGGAAAGGCAGCAGACGTTTATTCAAACACTCTTTCACGTACATTTCTTGGTTGACAGTCCCGGAAGCTATGAAAATGCTGCTTTTCAAGCCACAGGTACAGATGGCTTGCCAAACCAGATATTTCTTTGCGAACTTTGACAGTTTCATGTGCTTGAAAACATCTGCTACCTTTCCCCTTCCTTTTGCCGTATAAAACTCCTGTCCCGGAAGCTGCTTGTAGTCGGCTTTGACGTAGGTTTCGTCGTCCATTACCACGCAGTCAAACTTCGTCAGCATCGTCGTGTACAGCCTCCGGGATCGCGCTTTGGCCGTCGTATTTTGTTTATCATCGCGATTTGGAGTCACTACCTTCTTGTAAGTCGATAGTCCGGCTCGTTTTTTGGCTCGATGCACGGTTGTAGACGATACACCCAGCTTATTTGCGGCATCTCGGAGAGAGAGGTTAGGGTTTCGGTTGAAACTACCGGCAACTCTCTTTGTCGTCTCAGCGGCTTCCGGTTTTCGATTTCCCCCGATCCAGACTTGCTGGCTGTCGACAAACGTTCCCCAAACACTTTAATTACATTTGTAACGGTTGATTTTGCAACTTTTAGCAATTTTGCCAACTTTACGTGCGAGTAGCTCGGATTTTCGCGATGCGCGAGCAAAATTTTGATACGCTGCTCTTCTTGCTTGGACGGCATTTTGACAACTGAAGAGTGAATTCCAAAATCAAAATAGGAGCAACATTCTACACATACACACCTTCAAAATGAGGGGTGTTCAGGTTTTTTAAATGCAAAATTGAAAGAAATACGTCAAGTTGATATTGACCAAATTTTGACCGTATCACCCTTTATCTACGCTTTTGACTATACCAGTAAGCTTTTTATCTATAACATTGTAGAACGACGCACACACTTGCCTCGAATCTCTCCAACAGAAAAAGCATACGAAGTCGAGTATGAGAGGAAATGATCGCTTCTTATTGGCTTTTCGGCTATTTATATTCAGAAGCATGGAGAGAGCAGTGGAGAAAGCACAGGTCTGAAACTCGCAACAATCGGTGTTCAAGTCCCTCAATAGTCTGGTAGCCTTTTTTGACATGATTCATTTCACTCACTAATACCAACCGGGTTCCCGTAACGTGGGTAAGATAAGATAGATCACCTTTCCGTGGTACGCTACGGGATGTAAGATCTACCACCGATTCCTAGTCTTGAACACTTCAAACTAGGGGAACAGGATTTTTCAGTAATCAAAGGAACACATCTTAGTCCTTGTTACTTTCTATGCCTTGTTGATAGTGATAAGTCCTCGGGTTGCCTGGACCAAGGATGATCTTGAAACAAGGGAAAAAATGAGTTAGTTAGTCTTCACCTATGCGATTCCTAATATTCTATTCGTTGTTCCCTAGTTTGAAGTGGTTAAGACTAGGGTTCTGATGCATGGTCATTACCGGTGTCATAGCTTATTTTTGTTGCTAAGGAATCCAATTTTGACTGACAAAGGGGCGCGCCTTTGGAGGGTGTTCCAACACTCCGAAGGGTATAAATAGCGGGACCTTTCAATTAGAATCGATTCCTTGCGATGAAAGCAAGAATGACAACTGTATCCAAACCGAATACTTCATAATTTCTCAATAGTGATGGAGTAATACGACATGCACTAAACTAAGGACTAGGGATATACTACAATAGTTCAAATTACCGGTGGCAGTGGTGTTATGTCACAAACAGAGGAAAAAATACCAACCGGTGGAAACTAACGATTTTAAATTGATTCTAATTGAAATTCTAGTACTACGCAATGTTTGTTTTGATTCGCTATGAAAGTTTGACAGATAAAATAAGGGGTTCGTGGATTTTCCTATGTTTCGAGGGGTGCATCGATTAGCTTGGGACCGAAGATAGTAAGAACTGAGCCAAAAAGTTGAGCTCGTTTCTTTGGGACCTGCTAGTCTTAGAGTTACCTCTATGCTAATACACTCAAAATTCTTCTTTTTTCCATATTCTTGTTTTGGACCACAGCTAGGTAAATCGCATCCTCGGTTTATGCGGTCTCCACTAACATCCTCTAATGATGAATCCCACATAATTGTAAGCGAATCTTACATCCCCCGGTTGGGTGTGTTTTAGAGTACGGTATACATTTTGAAGCTGCTACGGATTTAGTACCGTTGTCTCCATTCTCAAGGTATTTACGGGCGTACTTCCCATAACAGATTGTCTCGCTGAGCTGCATTTCCGGTTTCTCATCCATTGCAAAGTCATGAACACATGACGCTGGAGGTTGGGCCATCTTCGATCAACTCCAATCGTGCTTGCATCCAAGACTTCTACAGTTCCTCTTCACGGGAACAAATCCGATTCCATTTTCATGAATAAAAAATCATGACATTAAAAAAACTTGCCATCCCATGAAATCATTACAATGATTCATGATTTCTTGAAGGAAATTCTAGACTAACATTTGAAAAGGGCGTAACTCCAAAATGACCATATCGAGAAAATCGCTTCCGAATTTTGATGACCTAAAAATTAATCATATTTCACGACTTTCAAATTTCTGGATGATTTTATGAGCTTGACATATAGTTAATATTGTAATCTATCATCATGCATCACTAGAAACTTAATAAAACATTATACGCCTTGATAATTTCATACATGTTGTTACCCACCGGATCTTCCATCCTTTGAACTGCCAACACTGGTGATACGCCGTGGAAATACACCCTCGGGATTTTTTGTTTGTTGTTCCGCCTTGGTTCTTCGTTCGCAAATTTTGTGAGAGTGGAATTACGCCCGGAGATTTTTTGTTGTCTTCTTTTTGTTCGTTGTTTACGCGTAAAATATCAATCGGATGCATTTCAAATGAATAGGGCGTGACTAGATACTACAGAATCAGTACGTTTGGCATATTAAAACAATTTAATTCGTAGTTCTGGTGCAAGGCGTCACAACTAGATGCATCATAGAGTTGAAAGTTGGAAATACGCCATGTAAGAAGAAACGTTTGGATGATTTGAAGTGATATTTTCTTCTACTTTTTCGTGTTTATCGAGTAGTTTGTGAACTGTTCTGGCAAAATGTGGCAAAATAGGGTTTGTTTACATTTTGGAGTTACGCCCTTTTCAAATGTTAGTCTAGAATTCTTGATTTCATAATGCAGCGGAATTATGACCGCTAAAAGCGTTACACGTACCTGCCAAACCGTGTTCAACCGCTTTACATAGGTAGCTCTTATACGCCTTTTGCCT